GATGGATGGATGGATGGATGGATGGATGGATGGATGGATGGATGGATGGATGGATGGATGGATGGATGGATGGATGGATGGATGGACGAACATCATGTGGAAAGCAGATAGAGACTGTTTGCTTGAAGCCGCTTAGTCGGTTTACCAACATTGATTTAGGATAAAATGGACTTTAAGTTTGTAACATGATGAATTTCTTACATAAAGAAAATGAAAACACATGGACTGATTATTCAAGCAGGGAACCAACCGTTGAACTTTGAACCCCATTTGAACCCCGCTGAAAAAAAGGTCAGAATGGAGAGATCTGAGAGGTTTCCATCACAATGATTTACTCTATGCAGAAAACTCACTTAGCTTGCTTTAAAAATGTTCATTCTAATGCTGCTGATGGATTTTAGTGGATGACATTACAAGGTTCATAATAAGAGGTTTTTTTTTTCTTCTATGAGAATTAAACGTCACAACTTTCGAATTACTGCTGCAGAATATAAGTCAAAATCAAAACAAAAGCGCAGCAACTGCTGCAAGTTCTTTTTCAACAAGCTGAAGCCAGATTCATCAGCCAATTCCTCAGCAGAGATTCTGCATCGCTCCGACTGTTGTGGTCATCCCAACACATTATTTGTATATCTAATGATTTAGACCGAGCCCTGGAGGCTCAGTGCACCACACAATTAGATCAGATTTACATATCTGTCAGTGTGTTTACATACACTGCATGCCACCGCCTGCCTCGGAGGTTCAGCTCGTGTTTCACGGTCCCTCCTGTTTTCTATTGCCTTATGAAAAGAATCAGCCGTGGACATGGGATTTTAAATGCAAATTATATATATATATATATATATATATATTTTTTTTTTCTTATTAATGAGTGTACACCCTTTGCATGGCGCTGAATCAAGCAACTCATTTTAGCAGCATTCATTCATATAGTCTGTCTGTAAACATTACAGATGGCAATGCCAGCCTCCCACAAAGCCGCACTCATATAGCGACAACCTTGGGAACTTTTGCACCAAATGAGATAATTAAAGGGTTGTTTTCTGCACACCCTCCATGCACCAGCACACTTGTGCGCACACACATGTTCTGATGCTGGTCTGATGCACAGCTGCGTGAGTATTCTGCTAATGACAGCGTTCCACTATGTAGCTTATCATATTCAGTCTAAAGTGGGGAGGTTTAGTATTGTAGCTGCCTCCTCATGTGGTGTTAAAAGGAGAGCCCTACCACCTTTTTTCTCTCATGTAATTAAGCCATTTCTGGGATTTAGACTTTTGCTTTGAAGTTGAATAATATCTATAATGTCTTTGCAACTTTCTATTAGTTTTACCAGTGTCCAATTTGCACTCTCTGTCCTATAGCTGCTTTTTTATTATTATATTGTACTAGTTACTTCATGGCTCTTGCATTAGCAGAATTTCACGGCTTCATCACTCTAAAATTTTAAAATTACATATAGTTCTTTGAACCTTATTAAACCTTATTTTTTTAACCCTTATAGAAGGTGAGCTTTTTATTCATTTAATATTATTTACTGTAGATAGGCAGGAAAATTGGCAATAGGAAGCACCATACTGAAAGCAAGAAATTAGATTTTGTTTGAAGTTTATAAACCCAGGTTTCATGAAGCGTTGCTTTTACGCAGCAACTCCAAGCTGACAAAATGTTGAAAACGAAGCTGATGGGTTTTTTCCACTTGCTGCTCAAAGAACCTGGAACCAAACAGAGCTGTAAGACATTATAGATCCGATATTATGTTTTTATAAGCCTTCCAAAGTCGACTATATTGTTTTCTTCTTGTGCTATTCCTCTGAGCCACAAGGAAGAAACTTGCTTTCACTGCAACGCTACCTTCTCCATGTGTGGTTGCCGTATATCATGCCACTTTTGATCTGGCTCTTTTTTAGAAAGGTTGAACAAACTAGGAAACATCGCACAGCTGAAAAAACACATTTTAAGACATAAGCCCCATTTACACTAGCCTTGTGAAACCGTGCCGAGAGCGGTCCGAGCATTGTAACTGAGATAACTGTCGAGTATAAATGGTACACAACCAAACCTGACCGCGTCAGACACAACCGCACCGCGCTAAATCTAGTACTAGTTCAACAGTAGGGCTTGGCGTGGTTCAGAGTAGGCTCTGTTCTCAGATAACAAAAGCCCCATTTACACTACCCCTCTGAAACCGATCCGTACAGAGTTTGGACCCAGCTTGGATCAGTTAACCGTGCCTAGCTTGGTTCCTTACGACCGTTTACATATCACCCTAGCATGGTTCCTCGCCTCTTAGTGGCAATCTACGGTACTACTGCTCTCTAGAGGGAATCAAGCCAGTCAACATGGCGGCGACCTAACATTCAGGAAGTTTGGTTATAATTGTGAAATTTCATTGTTTGGGGAGAGTCAGGCGAAAAAGGAGCCTTTGGTGAATTTAGTTGACAGAGACAGCTTTTGGGAAGTGGATACGACAAACGATAGTCTAATCAAGGCTTACAGACGCAGTAAACAAGGACAGATATTGAGGTTCATCACACTGCTAAGCAAAATCCTCACTGGAAATCGCGAATTGCTCATGCACGTAATCATGAAATTTCAGACATTCAAAAAAATACAAGCTTCCCTACCATGCCACACAATTTCCAGTGATGATTCTGCTTAGCAGTGTGATTAACGTCTTTGTTTCCTGCGCCGACTCTGTCAAGTAAATTCACCAAAAGCTGCCTTCTTCACCTGACTTTCCGCAAATAATGAAATATCACAATCATAACCAAACATAACTTCCTGAATGTTGTGGGCACAGGTTTTTTGATTTTGTTGATTCCCTGCTTTAATCCTTGAGAGCAGTAGTACCATAGATTGTCACTAGGAGGCGAGGAACCGTGCTAGCATGATGTGTATCCTAAGGAACCAACCTTGGCACGGTTAACTGATTCAAGCTCAGTCCGAACTCGGCACGGATCCGTTTCAATGGTAGTGTAAATGGGGCGATAGACATAAGCCAAAAAAAAAGGGCAGTTGCTGTCACTGTGGAGATTAGGTGCTGAAAAAGCCACTTTGTCTCAACTTTGAGCAGAAATAATGTAGTTTATAGGCCAGGCAAAGCGCAGCCAAGGGAGGTGCTTTGTGAAGGGGCAGGTAATTGATTGATTAAGGACCAGCACAAAAACATAGTTCAAAGCTGTCTTTTTGCGTCTTGCTTTGCAGGATTGGTTCTATTGGAACCACAGGTTGTAGTTCTACCCACACTGAACTCAGCTCAAAAAATCCATCTCTTAATGTAGATTTATTTTAGTGTTATGATAGATTCACAGAGCCTCTAAAAAGTAAAACTTTTACAGTTTTGTTTCATCACCAGTAACCAGGCTGAATGTAAACAACACAGATGGCGCTAAATACAGGACAGCTATTTGAGAAAAGGCTACAATATACTAGAGTCTTCTGTAAGTTTCAGTAGACCATCTCCCACTAGTCAAAGTGTAGACTCAGTTGAGATGAGTTTCCAACGTCTGGCTGAGTTTGGTTTGTTTTCCAGAAGAATGAAAAGAGAAACATTTCAGTTAATATTCAAATTTGCACAGAACCTTTTAGATTTTCTCTCATTAAATCTAAGAAAAAGAGAAGAAATTGTTTTTTTAGTTACCTTCTCATTTACGTTTATGAACTTTTTGTGAGGTTTGTCACACAAACTTTTGATTGTAGAACGTCAATAGCTGCTAGCAGACCACATCTGGACCAGCAGATAGAGAAGTTCCTTAAAAATTCAAGACCACATTTAATCCTCTACATCAGAGAACCAAAAAATATGTCTGATCAGGTTAGGTCCGTATCTACTTCGTTGCCAAACCACCACTTTTAGCGTACCGTAGTTCACATTGGTGTTAAAGGGCAGCTCAGACTGCAGTAAAAATGGCGCCCCGGGTCACACAACTCATTCATTGATGGATCCGACCCTCTGAAGTTAAATTAATAAATTTTTTTTCCTCATATGCAGCATTTTGAATTGTCTTGCAACTGAAATGTGATGTAGAAATAAACTTGCCTTTAAACGGAACCATGAAAACAGCTATGAAAGCATTTCTGATGATACAGTAACAATGAAAATCTACCTTCATGCCACCCGGGCTTCCTTTGACCATTAGAAAAATGCTTTAGTTAAGTTAAAGCCTCCCCTAAACTGGCCACTTTTATATCCTACATGAACATGACACAAACTACACGATTGAAAAACTATAAGCAAAATGTATTTGCTACATTTTCATTACTGTTTTTTATAGGTGTGAGTCAATGTTAATGTAATGTCGTGGTTTTTATTCTCTGATTGATTCATCTTCTCGACTTATTAGATATTTGCCTTTATTCAAACACCATCATTGCCATTTCATCAGCCTTTTAAAGCTCACCAGCAAGTTTTCTCCTTTCATATGAGCATCCTTTCATGGTACCAATGATTCTCTCGTTTTTTTGTCTGATTTACCTCATCAGTGCGGCTGTTCTTACTCTCACAGCTTATTGGAGCAGTACTGATGCTTGCTTTGTTTTTTTCTTTCGTGATATTAGCTGGTGAAGCTGTGCAGTGGGATGATCGAGGCCGGCAGGGCCTACGTCGGCGCCAATAAGCTCTTTGTGAATGGCATCAGAGATCTGTCCCACCAGTGCAAGAAGGAGGAGATGATATCGGTGAGCACATAAGTCAATATTGGGGAATCTACTTCACTCAAATATAAGCAGCCATCTATCTGTGGAAATGCATTCCAGGGATTCCCAACATTAAAAATAGCTGTATAAACAGTTTTTGTTCGGACATGGATATGTGCAGCTGTTGTGGTGATGAAGGAGGCGACTGCATACAGACAGAAAATGTTTACATGAAATAAGCTTCTTGTTTTATTTTAGTAAAACATTCAGGCTGCATTTCATGGAAGTAATAACTCCCGTTAGAGATGAACCGGCGCTTAAGATAAACTTGTACAAAAGCAGTATTAAAATCTATTGTGAAAACAGTGCAGTGCACAGAAAATGGCTTATAACTAAACTCGTGTGTGTGTGTGTGTGTGTGTGTGTGTGTGTGTGTGTGTGTGTGTGTGTGTGTGTAATACTGCAGGAATGTCTTGAAAAGTGCGGAGAAAGCCTCCAGGAGATCGTCAACTATCAAACGGTGAGACACTTTTACACGCACACACTCACAGGGACCCCACACAGCTGTTGCCACGGGCAATAGGCGGAGGAGAGGAACTTCCACATGCCCGAATCTTCCTAACATCTTTCAGAAATCTTTCTCTGCTTCGGGGCTCAACACACAAACATCACACCCAAATCAAAATGCTGTTTATTATACATTTCGTTACATTTGTGTTGGATGACTAACAACTTGACTCCAGAGAAGTTCTTCTTTATAACGAAGTGTAACCTGAATCTGCCGAGATCAGTCAGACCTTGATGTCATGACGTTTTAAAACCCTGTCCATGTTTGGATCAACAAGAACCAAAACATGTTGCATCATTTTTACTTTTAGGCGTGTAAAGACGAAATCAGTACAAGGAGCTTTGTCTAGTTTTAGAAAGAACTACTCAAATTTGGATGTTATTGATTTATAAATTATGCTGCACAGCTGTAGGTTATCATTGCTTATGCTTCTATTGCTTGCGTTTTTTGTGTGCGTGTGTGTTTGGTTTTGCAGTGTTCGAGACCTATTTGCATAACCAAAGCAAGAAAAAAGACATTTCTTTAATAGCATGTTGGCATTATTCTGTAAATCAATATCAGGCAGCAGATTTGAAAGTGCAAAATGAATTTATAAAGAGGTTAAAGGAGTCAAACAAACAGAACTGGACTTATAATAGCGATAAATAGTAATTTAACTACTGCCAATAATAAAATGACATCACACGAAAGAGTTAAGTGCGTCTTGAGCAGATTTCTCAGTTGCATCCTCTGCAGGAGCTTAAAGAGAATTTAATCTGTAAACTGAAATGTGAAAAGATTGCAATTCGTAAAAGCCAATCTAAAAATGAGAAATTTAAAGAAGAAAAAAGATGTTTTAAAACATGAACTCTGTGGAATTTTGGTTTTCATTAAAACATGAAAGAAGGAAGAAATAGAATCTGAAAAAAAACGCAAAGTTACTCACAATACCTTTTTTTTTAAAGATTTTTTTCTGGAATGAAATTTATTTTAATTTCTATTTACAAAACATGTTGTTTGCAACAACGATGATACAAAATTAACTCCAAAAATATTGATTATCTGCCTTAAAGGTACTATTAATATTCTCAATCATTATAAACAAAGATGTTCATGTTGCAGCACCCCTTGTTATTTCTTTACATAGCTTGGTACGCAGTGACCAGTAACTTGAAATTATATAAGCTCCAGTACGCTCGGATATTAATTTCTCAGAAAGGTCATGTTGTATATTATTGGAGCGCTGAATTCCTCTAGCCTAATCTGATTCCAGATATGATGTGTTTCATGTTGTAGAGATTGTTTTACTGGGTCAGCTGTGTCTAGGTCCTCTAAAACCATAGATATTTGTGAAAAAAATATTTACATTTTTATGTTTCATAGTGTATAGAAGTTGAATTTAAACACATTAAGCTGAACTCACTGGTGGAAGCGTCGCGTTTAAGAGATTATTGGACGTTATTTCTAATTGGATTGTATGTAAAAAAAAAAATGAGATTAGCTGCTGATTTACCTGTTCCATTTCTTCCATTAGTTTAATGCCAGCCAGAGGAGATGATGGCTTCAATTTCTTACATTTTGGTTTCCACATCATGTGTGCTGAAAGTAAATCTTTCCACAAAGTTATAAATACTAGGAAGAGAGTTATCCATGCCTACAAACAAATGTTGCAACACAAGTGAAACCTGATGATGAACCACTTTGTTTTCAAATGCGCCGCACCTTACAGTAGGTTTAAACTCCCTTTGCAGCACCCAGTGCTCAGATATAACACCGAACTCCAACAATTGAAATCCCAAAGCAGTTTAAAGTTCCTTTAAGATCCTGAATAAGTGGATTTGTAAAGCATGAATCCTTAGTTTGCTATTTTTGTTAAAAGATTCCAGCCTAAATGAAAAAAATAAAACATCTAAAAATCAAGCAACATCACAATCCTTTGTGGAGAAAAAGTATGAAATAAATGAAAGAACATTTAACAACTGTTGAACAATTCATTGCATTGAGCAACAGTTTGTGAGATCAAGTTGAATAAAGAAACGCTGCAGTCCTGCAGAAAAGCTGTTTTAGTACATTCCTACTCCACTTTGTCCCACGTTAGCGTTGCTCCAGCGAAGGCTCTTGTGATCTTGTCCAACCAGAAACCACTAAAAACAAGCCTCTGGCTTTTCTTTAAAACTTCAACATAGTTCTTTGACTTCACATGACACACTTTCTCATTTTCAACCCCTCCTAAATCTCAATGACATTCCAGTTTAGTTATATCACTTTGTTTGGAATGTGTTATTTCCTTCTGTGGTTGGAGTTTTGGGTGGAATTTCCACTTAAATCCTGGTTTTTCATGGCACACAAGGGAATAAAGCATTGTCCACACAAAGATTCTCTGTTGTTTGCCAGTTAAATCAGTCAAGGAACCATTTTTACTGAGAAGTACCTTCCAGCAGGGATTTAGAGCAATAAATCACATGCACATTTGGTTCAATTCTAAATGTTGATTCCTTCTAATTTCTTAGCGATTTCTCTGTTTCTCTGCCATCCTTATTCATTTCTTCTTCCCTGGTTTTTATGTCTGTTTAACCCAGACCTGTTCAATCAGCTACATAACGCTAATGACATCCTCTAGACTTAGACTTAGACTCAACTTTATTTATCTCTTGGGATTACTCCATCAGGGAAATTCTGACTCTAATAGCTTATATAGAGTACAAAGAGGTTACGATTAACGATAAAAATACAACGGACAATATCAAAAGAGTGTATGTAGTACCAAAAAAGCATAAAAGATAAAAGTTACAATTTCCTGGAATGTTTCCCTTAGATATAAAAATATCTGCATCTTTTTGTTATACTGCTGTTCTGATATGGACTGAATATTGTTTTATTTTTGTTTCAAGTGAAGAACCCATTATGTAAATGGTAAGTTAAAAACAAAAACATTTTTTGTAAATTTTAATTGGAAGAAAATGCAACCCAGACATAAAACTTATTCTTTGCTGGGTTTTTTTTGTTTTGTTTTTATTTTATAAGAAGGCAATTCATAAAAGTCAATCTAAAAAGCAAACAAAAAAAAAAGATTAAAAAAAAATGTAAATTCAAAAATATGAAAAACTAAAGCAAGGGAAAAATAAAATATTTGAAAAAAATAAAGAGAACAGAAAAAAGTATTATCAAAACCTTTTTTTTATTAAGAAGTTTTTATAGTTTTCTTTTCATCTGGAGAATCTTTTTTCTCACATTTACTTTGACAAAACTCTTGAAACAATAATGACCAACATTCCCTCCATATTCAGGCGTGCGCCGCGCTGCTTGGTTGCAGTCTTCCAAACTACTTTTAAGAAAATCCAGATTTCTGAGATGAGGTGTTCATCTTCCTTCATGCCCTTGTTGGTCTGTTCTGCATTTTTAACTTCCTCATATTCCTGTTCCGTAAAGGTGCCCCAGTCCTCCAACACTTGGGAGTGAAACCTCATCTTTATTAATGGAGTCCCAGCAGAGAGACACTGAAGGACAGGGAGACAATAAATCTGTGGGTTGGCAGCTTTGCTCTGCTGGTCTGTTTCTTTTAAACCATTCATAAATCCTAACACAAGACCCAACAGATGATGTTTTTACTTTTTCCTCCAAGGTGAATTGTTCATTTTTAGTTACATTTTCAAGTGCTTCATTGCTGGATAGTGACCACAGGAGATTGAGTTTTAAACGTCGTCAAATTTGGATCCTCCCTTTGATATGTTGCCACATTTGCTTCCTATCTAAAGAAAGATATGCAGCTATCAATCTGTAGGAAGTAATCGTGGATTAATAGAAGGATGTTTCAGAGGGGAATGTTTTCTATAAATTCTCACTAAAAGCTGACCCTATTTAAAGTGCATGACCTCCGACCTTCAGAAACCTAAATATGAGCCTTGACCCCATTTTATAACAACCTGCATGGTCATTATGTGGATGGAGGCTCACTACGGACTAAGCCTGTAATCCGCAATCTGTACGTGGAGGATAAATAATGTTTCATTTTTATGTATAGGATTTAATCCCAGCAAGAATCGATTGCTGTGTGATTAAAATGCAATCACATTTCCTTTGTTCAGTGAAAATACCTTCCTATTCCACCCATATTGTTTGCCTATCAGCAGCTGTGCACTTTATTACATATAAAAGGAATAGTAATTGTAGGAAAATCATTTTTTTTCCCAGATGGAGAGATGAGTTGCTGGAAAAACTGAGAGAGAATGAAGTGGAAGTCCTAAGGTTAACAGGAAGGGAATGTGAGGCTGAGAATCTGTTGATACAGCAGCTGAGTGGGTGTGTTCCCATGTGTCCTGCCTCTCCTCCCTCAGCCTGTGGCCTTTTTCACTCTCTAAGGATATCTAATGCCCTCTTGTGGTGTTTTGTAGCTACTACAGACTTCCAGAGTAAAACTAAGCATTTCCCTGTAAATGAAAGAGGATGCTGCTGCTCTAAAGTGACCCCTTGTCTTTGCTCCTGTCTGCCTACAGATTTTGTTTGACCAGGCTCAGCGGTCCATCAAACAGCAGCTTCATACCTTCATTAAGGAGTGAGTATTAACTTTCACAATCACCCTTTGTCGTAAATGTTCTCAAATATTGCTGCCTCGCTCTTTAAACAGAGCAACACAAAGACGTGTATGATTATGTATAATGTGTCATTATGCAAAGGAAGAGAAAAAAGTGCTTTTTTAAAATTGCTTTTGCAAAACAAAATAAGAAATATTGGACATTAGTTTGTATTCAGTTCCTTCTTTTCTAAATTAGTATCTCACAGCAAAGTCACGCTCGTCCCGATAGTTTTAAATGTTTAAACTTCACCCGTGACCCTTCTTATGACCTCTTTTAGTCCCTTCTTGGAAAAAAGCTATTTTTTATTTGCCATAGAACCTTCTGTAGATTAATTGCCTGAAATTTTTTTTTAAACATTTTTATAACACCTTTTTTGCAGTTTTTATGCCCCTTAATAAACCTAAATTACAAATGGTATTAATAAACAGCTTACTTCTACCAGTCTCTTAATTTATACTATTTTACCTTGGATGTTATTTATGTACCTTTAAAATTTATTTTATGTTTTTAATGCTTTGCTAAAAAAAAGTGCAATAAAATGCTTCTTTTACTCTTATGTTATTCTTTGCAATTAAAAGCTACACCTTTCTCAGATTGTATGAAGTGAGTATGAAGTATTTCCTCAGATTGTCTGCCCTTTGTAACATCAGAATATTTTGATCTTAGCAGTTGAGATTGTAGCGCTGGCTGCAGCTACGTCAGCAATGAAAGTATTTAACTCTGACCCCACAGCATGATACTTCCACCACCATGTTTAACACCTGCGGTGGTGTTTATTGTTTGTTTTTGGGCAAATGTAGCATGAAAATTCCTTTTTTTCGTCGCCTATCTGGTAGGAGCATCTTCTTCCACTCACTTGGCGTCTTATACCATAGCGGTCGGATTTATGCAGAGTATTATAGCTGGTTGTCCTGCTAGATGCTTCCACCTGAGTTGCAGAGCTCTTCTGCTCCTCCAGAGTCACCATGGGCCTCTTAACTAAGACTTATTCTTTCCTATACTCTTGTCTATCGATTTAGCTAATCGATAGACAATACTGTTTTAGTATTTTTGCAGTTGTTTCTATTTTAAAATGATGGATTGAACAGTCCTACTTGAGGTTTTCAAGCTCCATAGTTTAAACACAGAAAGACCCATTTTTACCGTTAATGGACTTTGTATGTAAGAGGTTGCCCATTTTATTTAGGGGCATCCAAGTAAACAAAAGATGAGTACAAATGTGCACTAGATTTCTAAGATTTGTTTATTTTTTCAGTCAGTTTTAAAAGCCACGTGTCTTTTTTTTATTTGTCACACCATGTAAAGCCCATAACACATAAAAACTGACGGGATACGTCATGCTTGTGGTTAAAACTTAATAATTTGTAAAACAAATATTAAAATAGATAACAATTTTCTTTTCAATGCAGAGTTATGACCCCTTAAGAGCAGCATCCTCCTGTCATTTAAACTATATGATGGAAGGTTCAGGACAGTAAGATATTTTTTTTGCTCCTTCTGCTCCAGAGATATACGTAAGTTCAAGGACACCAAGAAGCAGTTTGACCGCGTGCGTGAGGACATGGAGCTGGCTCAGGTGAAGAACGCTCAGGCGCCTAGGAACAAGGTGCACGAAGCAGAGGAGGCCACACAGGCGCTCATCCTGAGCCGCAAGGCCTTCAGGCACCTGGCCCTGGACTATGTGCTGCAGGTAACTCATGTTTCTAGTGTTGTCCAGTAGGTGGCACTCACACTCCACTGCTGCTAAACAAGGTGTATATGGAACAACAAACCATATCAGATCACTTTTGTTCATCTCAAATGATGTCTGAATTTGTTTTTTCTTTATGTTTTCCGGCAGATTAATGTCCTCCAGGCTAAGAAGAAATTTGAAATCCTCGATGCAGTTAGTAACTCAGATCACAGACATCCAGGATATGTCCTCTCTATGATTTTAAACGTTTTCTGACATTTCTTTTTATGTCGCCGTTCCTCCTGCAGATGCTTTCCTTCATGCGAGCGCAGCACACTTTGTTCCAACAAGGCTTCAACATCTTGGATGAAATTGACCCCTACATGAAAAAGCTGGCTGCACAGGTACGCAGAGCTGTCAATCACAGCCTATCATGTAACAACCACCGTCGACAGGAGCAGTCTGTGCTGCTGGATGGAGCCTGTTCATAGATCAGAGGGAAAAGACAAAACCGTTTTCTTGCTCACATCATCATAACAACTTTATATAGTACGACCGAAGTGTCGGCTTATCCGCTCCTTTTCTCTCTTCTTCAAATATCTAAAGTATATAAAACAGATGCAGGGATCTTTGAACAAATATCAGTTTGCAACATATTTATCTGTGTTAAATTGATTGCTTTATCAGCAGCTTCACTCTGAGATGAGGAAAGTAACTAGTTACATTTACTGGAGTACCTTTTTAATCAAGATTTACTTTTAGGAGCAGTTTTACTGCACATTTTTTACTTTTTTAGAGTAATATCTATAATAAAATATGTTCGCTCTGAATTTAATAAACTGTTTGAATGTTTAATCCACTCTGAGGAATGTTTATGTGAAAATTAGTGCCTTTTTTTATAAACAAGCTTATTTGATCCAGCCATGTCATTTGGGGATCAAGTTAATATACAGTTAGGAGTAAATAGAAACACTGAAGGGACTGGTTTATTTCTAAAACAAGTATAACTTTTAAAAAAAATCTGTCTGGAAAATTGTTTCTTCTGCTTCAATTTTTCAGTTTATTTACTTTAATTATCTTATTATAGTATTTCAAATAGAATAATTTGCACTTTACTGTCTGCCTTTCTTGCTTAATTTTAAATATGCAAAGTTATGATGAGTTATTAAGTAACTGAGAACTTTTTTGCTGATTTTTCTGGAGGAAAATCCTGATGTAGAATTGTTACTCTTACTAGGGGACATTATTTAGGTACTCTACCCACATCTGTTCACTAATTAAATGCAATGTTAGTTGCTAACTGATTTTTTTTAAAACATTTGTTAATCTGGCTAATCTTGATGCTATCATATGAATTCAGTAGAAGAAACAAAATAGATCTAAGAAGGCATTATCTTTCACTGGAATCAAGGTCTTTGTTTAGCCTTCTAGAGAAGCTTTATATAAGCCTTATCTTTGTTCTGCATTGTTTTGAATCAGTAAATGGTATTTTTAGGTAGGGGAGTTGGTCCAACAGATAGTGCAGAATTGTAAAGTTGCGGAAAAAAAAAAAAAAAAGGTTTTAATATATTAAAAAATAAAAACCACCCATGAGCCATCTTCATGGTGAAGCATGTGGGGAGCAGCATCATGCTGTGGGAACACTTCTCTCCTTTTTCATCTGGGACCTGAATACAGCTGAAAATGTCCATGGATGGTCCTACAGTCACTGTATTACAGATGAAGTCATGTAACGAAAGTAATTTCTCCCTGGGATTATTAAAGTATTTCTGATTCCTGGTTGATGGGACAGGTGTTGTGAATGAAACCGTGCCCAGCTTGAAAGAGCTCCTGTGTGTCGGTAAATGTGTGAATTGATGACTGAAAGACATCTTCTTCCTCCATTTATCTGTTTACTTTAGTGTGTTGAATTCATGTTAATGTGGATTTAAAGACATTTCAATTAGTGGAAAAATTGCAGGAGGGAATATAAAAAAAAAAGTCTAATCAACTAAACCTTTCGCAACCCCCATGCAGTACCTCCGTGGACCCCCTAGGGGTCGCGGACCCCCTGATGAAGACAGTAAAGTATTTACTTATTTTGGGTCTAAATGGAAGCCTCTGAAGGCTATGCCACACTTTTTTATGTGTTTGAACCGAAAAAAAAAAAAAAAAAAACATTAACCATCCTTTTCTTCACCCATAAATTAGAATAAAGAACATTGATATAATTAAAAACATATTTCTTTACTTCACTCGTACCCATGTTCAGTAGGTTAAGTGACCAATAAAAAAAAAAAAAACTGTCGTACTCTCTTTCAGACACCCTCTCCTTTATTTTTCAGTTGGATCAGTTGGTGATCGACTCCGCCATGGAGAAGAGAGAGATGGAACACAAACACGCTCTCATCCAGCAAAGAGTGAGAAAACATCAATGTTTTTTCAGCCCGCGTCCTGCAGTTACATCTCTATTTAGTGCGACTGAAGCGACACATTTCAGTCTTTCTTTGTCCAATGAAAATTGGTTTATCTTCAACTGGCATCAAAGCCTTTGTTTAGCCTTTCTAGAGAAACTTTAAAGTATGTTTGTTATGCATTCTTTTGTGTTTTTTTAATTTTATTGAACCGTTAAAGGTTAGTTCAGAATGAAAGATTACAGTTAAAAGAAGGAACTCCCTAAAAAGCAAACATTTCTGTCACGAAGATCTCTCAGGTGAGGGGGAAAAAGACAAGCGTTTCCTACACTCCCTCCACATTCATGCACAGATGCTCAAATAAGAATCATCCGTCTGTTAGAGGAAGCTGTGCCAACTACATGCGTGTTGTTTTGGCCCTTCCTTCTCATTGCTTTAGGTGCCCAGTGAAGGCATCCTGCCAGACCTGACAAACAGCATTGTTCCCTGATGGCCTTTCAGCTACCTCTGATCTTAAAAAACACAAAAATACAAAAAGGGTTTTCCGTTTTATTGTATTTCTGCATCAGAAAAGTAGAAAAAATAAATTAATTCCACTTTTTGAAAAGCTCTGTGTCATATATTTACACATATTTGATCCAATGCAGTCAGTTTGAAGAATACTCATATTAACCATGTTATCCATTTTTTCTTCCTCATGCTGATGTGCGGCCTCGTTCTTCCACTATCAGACCCTGATGCAGGTGAGTTTATAAATGCATCACCTAATCGTGGCTTTTGTTTTTATTAAAAGTTCTCTGGTTCAACCTGAACAGGATGTCTATTGTTTGAAACGAATCTGTAATTCTAGATCACGTGGATATTTAAGGTTTAAATGGAAAGTGTTGCAGAGTTAAGAACTATTTCTTCTCCAAGCTTGTGTATATGGTTCTACTTGTTTGTTTCAAACTAATGTGGTTTGGTTCTCTCAGATCATGTGGTTTCCTAACATAGATCTGTGTTAAAAAAGCATCAGCATCAGATTCAAGACTTTTACTTCTTCTTCTGTGTCGCCAGACAAAGATATATCTCAATTAGCGAGACTACCAGCCATAAGCAAGGTTGTTTTATCTGTTCGCTCCCAAAACTGAAGCTTATATATTATATAGATTTAATGCACATCCATATTTTTATGTATTTGATTTAGATTATTATAATTTATGAAACCCAATATTCTGTTTCTTAGAAAACATTAGACCAATAAAGATCACACAGTGGGGAATTCAAGCATGGTGATGGAAAAATGAGTGGAAGGAAAAAACTGAAAAAAACTATAAAAGTTATAGGAATAAATGCAGCTTTGAGTTTGACTGAAATTCACCAAATTAATAGAAATAAAATCTTTAAATGTCACTTTTTTTTTTTTTTTTAGAGCAGATTGGAGGTTAGAGTCACTTTTATCAGTATATAAAATATGTGAGAAATTGGGTTTTGAATTCAAATCTGCTTATATATGAACTATATAGGATTTTCGGTTGTTTTGGTGAGAAAATTTGACTCCGTATCAAAAACGAGGTTACTGGGAGTGACATAATGTGATTAAGTCTGCTTAGCTTTCCGTCATTAAACAATGCTAATGCTAATTCAGGTAACAAAGACACTTTAAACACAGCTCTATTATTATGAGGCTGTTGCCCAATAGAGCAGAGAGAGACCATGTGGAGGAATAAAATCATTGCTGTATTGTAAAAGTAACGTTACTTATTCATAGTTGTGTCGCAGCTCCTCCTCAGAGGGAATTTCACTGCAATAGGTTAGTTAGTCCAGCAGTTTCCTGCTATTTTTCTGAACCTCAGGTGTCAGTCTTAGCGATTTTGAGCAGTCATTTGTTTTCAGAACTTAAAAACCAATCACAGTGCTAAATCTCAGGTGGTAAACAGTGAGAAGCAGCAGCTGCTTGTGGGGAAACGTCCGCTGCATTCTGAGCGTCGTAAGAGAGAACGGTTCCAGTTTTCTTCCCTTTATTAAAAGTTTCTCCAGCGTTCATATTGATCCCAATGACAGGATGTCATATGTACTGAGCCGTCTGCTCCCATTGCATTGAGACTGGAACACTGGTGCATCTTAGTCCCTCTGAAGGAATAAGTTTAATTCATTTCAGCATCATTCCAAGTTTATGATCAATAAATGATCAATAAATATATCTCAAACTTCTACCAAACTCATTACACACCAGTTCTACCTGATAACTACCTGCTTTCCACAACTGAATCAGCGCAGACTGTTTGACTCCCCCCCACGTGACATCAAATGACGCTATTTTAAAAAAAATGTAAAAAAGTTTTGTAGAGACACTGCGAAGAAATTTCCCTTTTATTGGTAAATTTACTTGGTTATTGCAACCAAAACACTTCAAATCCTGAACAAACTTTCAAATTATTATCCATTAGACAACTATTAGTTTTTTGTCAAAGATTCAACCTGCAATTTGCTCTTTAAATGGATAAACTTCTTGATTTAATCTATTTTCTTTATTAGAGCATTTACTTTTCCGACTCAAGGATTTGCTTCTTGTTTATATGAGGTAATTTGCAATCTTCTTCTCATAATGATAGCTGGAAATCCTCAAAATCAATTCAAC